TTTTTTTTGTCGCGGGTGTTGCGCATTTTCTCCCATATAACGCATGAACAATATCTATTTTTATATGAAAGAAAAGAAGCAACACTCTCGGCCATTAAAATTCTAAAAGTGCTTGTATAGGACGTACAGTGACGAGCAAAACTGTAACATGGTTTAACACTTTTTGTTTCAGCCACCGCTATATTTCCAAGTTCTAACGACTTTCATCCTTTTGTTGAATATTCTTGTTGGTACATCCCTACTCCCTCTCTCATAATAATTTGAAGTCAATACAACAACAATAAAAAAAAACAGCAGACCAAAATGTAAATTAAGGCAGATGTTACAGTTTCGCACTCACTCTCAGTTTTGCATTTGACAGTTATCTTTTACTTAGTTGGAAGTCAGATGACTTTTTTCTGTATTGTAATTTATTGAAGAAGTGATCACCAGTAAATAACATAGTTAATCAGGAACCATAAATGTAAATAATAGATTTACTGCGGAAAGGCGGAACCGCACGAAAAGTGGCAAAAATTTTGGAATTTGCTACTTAAAAATGTTAAGACTTAGAAAAAATATACCCTAAAGTGTTCCCAAGGAGAGAGGAAGTCAGTTAAAAAATATTACGGTACGATATCTTGTGAACTTAGAAGCAAGTAGCGATGCAGCCACTATTACAGAAGCGCTTAAGGTATTTAACTTTAATGCAAATCAATAGACAGCGAGGCGAAGAATTGCCAAATTGAGCGCAAAGGCATCATAAAGAAGTAAAATGCAAATTTGATCATAATACATGTGCGAGTGTGGCAGCATTTCGCAGCATCGCACGAAAACCGAACCGTTGCCTATTGGGATATGTTAGGCCGTTCAGAATGCAATAAAAAACATATTTTTAAGTTTCAATTGAAGGTTATTTGGCCTGACAAGACTAAATTAATCGCTTTCAATCAGATGGCCGGGCATGGTATTGGCATGCCTAAGCGCATCATGTACTGCAAACTGTGAATCACAGTGGCAGGATCTTAATTGTTTGGGGTTGTATTTCAAAAATTTTGTTGGTCCGTTAGTATGCATTATGTGTAATGAACAGTATCTGTTCATATTTCAACAAAATTTGCAAGATGCAGTCGAAAAATTAGAGTTTCTGCTGAAAAATCACCCAAAACATACTACATATGTTCGCAAAGCCTGGATACAAAAGAAAAAATTTGCTAATTTGAAATGACCTCCACAAACCGCGGACATGAATCTCATCGAGAATTTGCGAAATCAAATAAAAGCACAACTTAATAAGTATTAAAGTCCGTAAAATCGAGTACATGAGCTGTGAAAGCAAACTAAGGATATACCTCCAGAATTTTTACAAAGATACAAATAAGGTATGCCAAATCACATCCAGGAACTGAAACGGGCAAAAGAGTACTGAACATTGTGTTAGTAGTTCTTTTTTTCGTGAAAATTGTTAAAAAGCTCTTAAAAATATATGAGTGCAAAACTGTAACATCTGCCTTCATTTACATTTTTGTCTGCTGTTTTTTTTTATTGTTGTTGTATTGACTTCAAATCATTAGGAGAGAGGGAGTAGGGATGTACCAACAAGAATATACAGCAAAAGTATGAAAGTCGTTAGAACTTTTGGAGCAGTTCTTTTAAAGTCTTATATCCATAAAGTATTTGCTTAAGGTTTATATAAAATTTGTGTTATTACAACTTAAAATGGTTTCACTTAAGAAGGACTACCCCCAATGGTGATGAGGGTAAGGCTATTATTACTTTTCCTGACGCAAGCATAATGAAGATTTTGCAGGCAAACATAAATTGAAAAAATAATAAGAGATTTTCAGGCAAAAAAAAGGAAAACAACCGATTCCAATACTCAAATAAAAATGTTGCAGTACTGTTTGGTACCATCCCCGAGGTACAACTTTTCCGTAAAAAAAAAGAATTCTCGAAAACGGTTCACGGGGTCCAAAGTTATCTGTTAACATACAGTAATGGCCACATAATTAGGTTAAAAATTTTTGACCTTATATTTTTTATTTATTATTTTTCAAAAATGTAGTTTAAGGAAACTCATGCAACTAAAAGTCTAAAATTTTTGCGAAATTTTAAAAACTGGCCACAATAAAAAAGCAACAATAATTCACAAGGCGAAATCGAATCTACTGAAAGAAGTGTGATGAGGAAATGTGGTGATTTCCGAAAAAGCTATCACTTCTACCATTTTTTCAAATTATTTTTGCTTTTCCACAATAAGTTTTTCATTAAAAACGGCCTCAAGCTCAATAAAAATTGTTGAATATTAAAAAAAAAAAAATTTATATTTTTTCCTTTGTCGATCAAATTCTTTTCAGAAAAAAAATTCATTATAATTTTTAATCTGGTAGCTTGATTTTGATGAAAAGGTCATAATCTTAGCAAAAGTCAAATGGCTAAGATGGCTGCTAATGTCATTAAATTAAACCACCTTCTTTTTTCTACCATGGGTAAAATGATTTACTTTGGAACGAATTTCCCTCATCCCTTGTCAAAATAAATCAAAAAATAAATGGCAGAAACTTGTAGGGAAGAAGTGTCCCTAATTATATAGACGCTAATGTACACAACAAAAATTATTCCGACAAATGGAAACCAGTGAATAATAATTTAAGTTTTAGGGCTATGCGGTTATGCCCAGAGACCGTACCGGTTATGCATTTTATAATAAAAGTCAAAAAATTAAAGTTATTTTTTTACTTTTATCATTTTGAGCAAATAATACCGATTATTTCTGCTTTTTATTTTTTTAAGGCAAAAATAAAAGTTAAAATTTGCCTTTTATCTTTTTGAGCAGAAAATAATCGGTAATTCTTGACTTTTATTTTTTCAGGCAGAAATAAAAGGCAAAGTTAAAAATCAAGTATTCCAGAGTGGTGTATATTCGAATGTGATAGTTTTGAAGCTCCTACATGGATTTTAATAACCCCTAATATCCAAATACCAGAGTTAGTTCCAATCTATATGTATACATATACATATGTACATACATACAATACATGAAGGCATTTTTTTGTTAACGACATCAGATCTGCACCGATTACTCGATTTGCAAAACTGAGGTGCCAAATTAAAGGGCTTAGCCTCTAGATATACC